GAACCCCCGGCTGCGCCCGGCAGCGCGGACACAAAGTCGGCGTGGATGCGGTGGAGCCGCGGCGTGCGTGTCCGATCGCGGTGCGGCCCTTCAGGCGTGCTCACTGCGGTTGTGCTGGCGGCCGAGGTGCCCGCGGAGGTTTGGCGTGTGGGTCCTGCCGTGCGCAGGGCGGCTGGCGTGCTGGGGCATTCGTCTTCCTTCGTTTTTTTGCTTGCTCCTTAGCTTATTAAAGGCATTTATTACCTTAGAAACGCGATGTAAACTATGAACATTCAATATTGCAGCTGTAAGGTAAAAATGCTGGCTTACACGCTGTTGCCTAGGGTGTTTACTAGTGTCATTAAAAATAACTAGTGTCATTGGAAAAGAAAAAAAAAAAAAACAAACCAGTTTGCCAGAGAACAAAGGGAATGTCGAGGCATTTGCCCTCAGTGAAAGCATTCAGAATTTTGCTGTTGTTAGGTGTGAGATATGCAAGTGCCAAATGCAACTTCTTTTCATTTATGGAAACAAAAATAGAACACAAGCTTGCTGGTAAGTGATAGTCTAAGTTACTGATTTTGAGGCTGTGGGCGAGATAATATTAGCCAGAGTGTACTTAAGGTTAAGAATTACAGACGTGCTCAGGTTGTAGTTGTAAACGTGAGTGGTGTTACTTGGCAGTAATTTACTAAATGTCGTACACAAAGAAATACCTGTATTTTACTACTGAGAAGTACTTTGGAGAAATTCAGATCCTGTTACAGCTTGAGAGTTGTAGCACTTCATCGCAGTTGTTTGTCAAAGCGTGAAGATTGGATATGTTTGCAGGAGACCCAGAATGTCTCCAGAACCCAGCACCCATGAAGTACCTTTTAAATGTCCCGTTCAGCCTTTGTATTTAATGTATGAATTAAATCTTTCTCTCTGCGTTTATGTGTTAGCTTAGGAGTTTTTTTAATTAACTGCTTCTGTCAAAATACAAATAAAGCGGGTAGATGTCAAAACAAATAACATAAGTTACATTGAAGTGTGATCTATTTTGTAGCCTTAAATTGGAATGTGAGAAACTGGCAAGCGAAAAGACAGAAATGCAGAGGCACTATGTGATGGTAAGTACATTTGTTTTTTCTTTATTTCAGTAAATGTCTCCTAATACAACATAAGCCAGCATAAGAAAATAATGTATGCTCCTTTATTTGCAGTATTATGAAATGTCGTACGGACTAAACATTGAAATGCACAAACAGGTAAGGCATTTTGTTTTCTAAAACACAAAATCTGCAGTCTTTCTAATGTGTTTAAATGTAGCTGTTCTGTTGATGTTTGGGTGATGATATCATGTGTCTCAATCAATAGGCTGATTTGTAGCCATGATTAGTGAACCTTTGCCTACCTGCTGTCAAGTGAGATATAGATAAGGTTGAGCGACAAGGCTTTCTTGGTATTGGTCCTGAAAGACGTTGGCAAAAACGGGAAAGGTCTTTGTCTGTGGTTTCAAAAATACAATTCAGTGCTTTACATGGTTTAATTTTGTTGGCGATAGAGCCTTTGATGTGTAGAACTGGTCTTATGCCTGTGTAGTGTTTGTAGTGGTAGTTGCTCAAATCCTTGCCGTTTGAAGGTATGAAAAGATTAGTGACTTGGAAAGCTGTAGTTATGACTAAGAGTTTGCAAGTTCCCATAAAATTCACACTTATGGCCACTATAATGGTGAATAAAAAGAGTATTGAACTGGAACAAGACACTAAGGACCTCATAAGAGAAGAAAAGCTAAATGATTGCTCAGCCCAGAGGACCCTCAATTGAGTAGTCATTGTCTGCCAAATAAAGCATTAATGGCAGAGTGTAAGTATTCTGTAGATGTGCTGACATTCACTTTTTCATCAAGATGCTGGTACAATAAGTCTTTGAGAAATCGATGGCCTCTTAAAAAAATTATCATTAGATGAAGTTGCACAGTTGGACGCATTTCAAAGTGCAACAATACAATTCTTTCTTGATGTGTATGTGCTATTTCATCTAAAACTCTTGTTTCCTTAAATTAAAGAGCATGGCTGACCGGCTAGGGAGCAGCGAAGAAATTGATTAGTTCAGGCTTCAGATCCTCAGTATATTCAAAGACCTTCATTAAGCAAGTGAATTGCAGAGTTGAATTTTGCTTTTGTAACTCAGAACTCTTTCATTTTTGTTTTGTTTTCCCCTAAAAATACCGTGTTTGATAAGGTGGTATTGTAACTGTGTGATAACTTTCTGTCTGCAAAGCTGTGTAGGTATTCTCTTGGTTTTTAGATACGCTTGTTTGAATGCAAAATGCTGGTAAAAGAAAAAATATTACAACCACCTCATTTTTGTTAAGTAAGGCACTAAATAGGTAGACAGAACAAGCAGAACAGTGTTTGTCTTGGTTCGGTACTGTGGATGCACTAGTCTGCTAGTGTCTTGTGTTTTAGAAGAACGTCAGTTTTCCTGTGGGGTGACTTTTCCAGGCTTTCTGATCTGGGTATTTCTTCCTTGGATTTTTTTTGCTTTTCTTAAACAACTTCTTGGCACACTGTAATCTGTGAGGAAGCCAATGTCTCTATAGGAGCCTCGTTTGGTGCAAAATCGATGTTGTTTTCAGAAGATCTTTGAAGGGAACGTATGACTTCAGTAAATGTACTAGGAATTAACTTTGGATAAAATCAATTAAGCCCACAAGATTAAAGAGTGTCAGAATGGAGGTTTCCACTTTGACCTTAACATCTGTGTATTGGAAGGGTTTAATGTTCTCTATGTATGGCAACTATAATTACATACCCAGTAGGCAGGGATACTTCAGAAGCTTTTAAGATATATGACAGTGTTCTACTTGTGTTGGTTCTAGCCAGTGTATCCTGTTAAGAAGAAGCTTTTGAAGGCATAAATACATTTCCCTGCATATGAATCCAGATACTATGCTTTTACATGTTAAGTAATTCTAATTTTCGATAAAAGTAGCACCTGCATGTTAAAGGCTCTTGATTTAGATGCTTGCAGTGAGGATGCCAAACGGTGTTACAGTTCAGTATGTAGGTGGTCTCAGATGACAGGAAACAAAAAAAACTACCAATGACATTTTTCTGCATTTCCACCGCTAACGATAAGTTCTGAGGAGGCTTTTGGCAGATAGTAATCATAATTCTTATTAAAACTGGTGATGTCTAGCCCCAAGGGTGTAGCCAGGCTCAAATTGATGCTTTTTGCTGGCTGATCACCAGCATGGCCTAAGTGCTCATTATGTTGTAGAGAGGGCCTTTGGAGCTCTCATTACGTTTGACAGGAATTCTCTCTGGGGGGAAACTGGGCATTAGCTAGACTCCTGACAGGCTGAAATTATTCCTGCTTTATGGCTTATAACCAAATGCTAGCAAGGCATCATCAGGGGACACGAAAAATTGTCACTTCTGACAACATCTTTGTTACTGAAAAATGCAGTGATGGGGAAACTTTGAACAAGCTTTAACGTTTTTAAGGCCTGCCTCGTATGTGGGTGCTGCACTCGCTCTGTGTGAAGCCCTTCAGAGTGCTTGGGCTGCTGACTGAAAAAACAAAAAATTACACTGCAACAGTGTTTCTTTATGCAGTGTGGTGCATAGATCACTGTTAAGGTAGAGTCATTTCAATAAAACCAAGCAGTTGCAGTTTGCCTGTGTATGAAAGGGTGGATTTCTTGTACTGATACAGTTGCATCGGCAGTTGCCTCTTCATTTGATTTGGTAATCTATTACTATTTCACTAAAACAAAGTTAGTCAAGACTTGACTGTTGCCATGAACACACTTAATTGAGGTGAACTTTCCATACACAAACAACTATACTGTAGAGCTTTCCACCTGAATATGTTGCATTTGAGTCCAGAAATGGTGATGATAAGGTTTCTTTCACAACTTCAGCTTTGGCACTTTGCAGTGTTTAATTGCATGACTGTGTGCTTAAATACAGGTACTGCTGCTGCATTTCAACCTGCTGGCTGAACAGTGGTCAGAAAGTAATCTTTTTAGCATATTTGTGGCTGGTTTGGGGCTTTTTTAAATCTTGTTTCTATGTGGGGTTTTAAATATTTCTTATTTCTGAGAATTTCAAAGGTTAGCTCTCAAGGGGATGTTGTATGTGGATTCTTACAATGTTTGCAGATAATTATTTTAAGGTGAATGGTTACTGATTAAGATTAGTATACCTGAAACAAACAAGTACCTGAGGATTAATTTAGGATAGATGCACTTGATTCAGATATAATTTTCGTATGTGTCAAGAAGACAGAATGAAGAAGGATGTTTTGTGTGGTCTTAAGTTTCTGTTCTGTGTTATACTGTCCGAGTCAGATTTTTCCCATTGTGACATAAGTCGCTGGCAAAGCAGATGCATCCACTGCTAGTGCGAAGATGTAGAGTTGGTTGGGTGTTAAAAATCCCATTGTACTTAGAGTTGCTGCCCTTGGCTATTAGGGCAGTGCCTCTCTGTTTGCACCAGCTCTGTCTGTCATCTTCTGTCAGAAGTCAGAAGATAAGGCTTCCTGTGTGTTTAATGCCTAGATTGTTTAGGTGCAAGATTAGCTTTGTTCTGTGGCAGGGAGCAAAAGAAAGAAAAATTCATCACTGCTGAATGCTATCCCAATGGTGACAGCTCGGTTTCCCTCTCTTTGGGTGCGTTATTGTGATCTCTGTGACCTGCCTGGAGGCAGATCTGTCATTCAGTACCTTGCTTCTTGTAGAAGAGTATACAAACTTCCAAACTGTATTATGTTAACCAATTGTACAGGAGTTAAATGTCTGTTTTAGCCTGGACTGTTTTGTGGAATTATTTCTAATGTTCTACGGCAAAGGACAGAATCTTCTACTGATATCTCGTTAGAACATCAGTCTTCAGGAGCTGGTTAAATAGAAGGGAATTAAGGAGCTTAGTTAGCTCTCTACAGTACCTGAGTAGGATGGCTGTGCTGTTAAAAGGGATTTAAAGATAAATTAATTCTTTTTTCTTTTTTGCTACTTGCATTTTAATTATTGGAATGAAAAACTTCATGGGAATCCTTAAGGTTTTGGTGATGTGCAGTGAGCATTTCAGGAGCACATTGCCACATGAAACATGCAAAACCTTTTTTTATTTAAAGGAGAAAATGGTAAGGTTGATTGGGACACAATATCTTTCACTCAAATACTTGTACTTGTTCTACAAATACTGAGTTTCTAAGTAAGTACAGTTGTATCACCAGTGCAGCCATTTCAACCACAACTATAGTTGCCAGTTTGAATGGGGAGGAAAGGCTAGAGTAATGACCTCAACTTTCTTGACTTTTGAACCACATACATTCAAGCTCAAGACCAGCATTACTGTGAAGGAGTTATCTGACAGATTCAGGACATTGTGAAATACATCTCCATGTAGCTTTTAGATAACCGTATTGTCAGATACCATCTATTATGTCAACTCCATATACAACTTAATCTGAAAGTATGTCACAGTGTAAACACTGTATGTATGTTAAATACTGCCTGATCATCTCGCTTATTAGACTTGGTCTGCCAGATCTCAGGTTTGTCACAGAAGAATGGAGGGAGAGAGGAAACATGTTCCTACCAGCTGTGTTGTTAAACTTCCCTTGCACTGATGGAACCTATGTTGCCAAATGTATGTTGATGCAGTTTATGAATTGATTCAAGTGAGGGAAAAAAAACTCCTGGTACTTTTTGGGGCAAGGAGAAGAGTAAGGGGGAAGATGCTTTGTGAATGTGCAATACTCCTTCTGTTGTAATAGATTCCAGGGAAAAAGATCTTCTTCCTTCTCCTGGTTGTTGTACCAAATGAAGCTGAGTATGTGAATTGCCTTTCCTCCTACACTACTCCAGCACTTACACGTGTGCAGCAAAGCGATGTAACTGCGTTGTTTCTCCAGTACGAAATGGAAGACAGGATCTTCTGGGTTTGATAGTAGGTCACCGTTGGCATACAGTAAAAGCCATTAGAAACAGTCTTAGGTTAATTGGCACTTATTGGAACACTGCACAGTACTGTTATTTTAAAAATGGTAACAGCTTTGAGTAGAACTAATGAGGTTATCCTTCCACTTGAAGTGAGATTTAAGGATATCTAACAGCAATTCTGTCAAACACTACTATTTTTGTCTTTTGCATCACACTTCGTGATTGGACTCTGGATGTAGCTATTTGAGCAATAGTAGTTGCTCACATCGTTCCTTTCAGAAAAGGGAAAACCCAGCAAATGACAGTGAGAAT